GAACCCACGCAAACACGGGGAGAACATGCAAACTCCACACAGAAAGACCCTGGCCTGATGGTGGAATTGAACTCAGGACCTTCTTGCTGTGCGGCAACAGTGCTAACCACCGTGCCACCGTGCTGCCCATGCATTGACCCCATTTCACCCAAATTTTAAAATGCTAGCTGCAAATGCACATGCATACTGAAGTGAGAGCCACCACTGTTTTGCAGTATGTTTTAAGTTACATGGTGTTGAGTTTGTCAAACGTATTTACTGCACAGTTTTAAAGCACTTCTTAATTTTCCTGAATATTGAGGGTTTTTAGGTGAATTGTTTGCGCCTTAATGTTCCCAAAAAGTTTATTCTGTTCATCTGGATGTAGCGTTTTCAGTCATCAGTCATCCAAGTGATCTTTTTTAGTTTCAGCTGACTGCAGGTTTCCCCAACGTTACAAACAGTACCTTTGCACAATGACTAGCCCACTGAATGAACAATGGGCTGTGAGGTCAGTTTCTTAATCATTAAAATCCAAATTGTCATGACCATTGATTAACAACCACTGATCAAAGCCCACTGATCAAAGCCCATTGATCAAAGACCATTGATCAATGGCCATGAGTACCATTCACAGAGAGTTGAGGAATGGCTGCAATCACAGCGTTGTAAGATAGCGAAAGATGTACCCTTAGGCCCCCTCATCGATTCAAAGGTGGTCTTTCCCTTTTCCCATTCTTCTTCAAAAGTCACTTGGATGAGTAATGAAATGTTTCTCCCACTGAAAATGGTACGTCCAGATGAACAGAAACAACTTTTTTGATTTGGATTTACCTGGATGATTGAGCATGCATCAAGACACCTTAATGTTGGGTTATGTGCAATAGATGTGGTAAAGATTATTGCGTGATTTTATTGTTAAATAGTTTTTTGTTTAATATTAGTACTTGAACTGGATCGCACTTTTCGGTTCAGGAGATGATTTAATGGCATATGAATGATTGATCAGTAGTTACAAGGCAAAAGTCTATATTGTTAATTAAATGTTAAATAGAAATGAAAGAAAATATTTTTGTTGGGTCATTTAAAGTGTTCGGAACCCAGATTGATTGGATGATGGAGGTAGTGAACCTCCTGTTATTTTAGTTGGGGACCCCTGCTTTACACAGTATGATTCAAACCCAGGACCTTCTTGGTCTGAGGAACCAGTGCTAACCACCACACAACGATGCCGCCACTTTTTAGAGAACTTAAAATGAATCACACGTTCAACTGCGCTCCTTAACAAGCTGGCTTTCTGTGGCCTTGCCCCTGTGTGCACCTCAATGTCTCGACTCCGGGCCACCTCGGTGAAGTTCTCGTGCAGCTCCAGAGTTTTGTCCATCTTGTCATCTGTCATGCAGTAACAACGCAGGCGTCCCTCACGTGCCTCATTCATCTTTGCAAAAATAACAAACTTGGCCATATATGGGACTGCCATTAGCTCCCTGTACAGCAGGTTGGCAAAGGTGACCACCTCCGCCGTACGTGGACAGTCTGCCAGCCAGAATCTGGATATAGCAGGAGAACAGAGAAGAATTAAACAAACCAGCTGGATCTAAATCCAGATGTGTGCAAGAGTGCAGGAAAACAAGTTGACTGGGAACATGCTTGCACAGATGTTTACTGAGCTCACCTTGCAGACACATTGGTGGTAAAATTGGCACAGTTGTTGGCATACATCAGCTTGGTGGTTCCAGTGATGTCCTCCCACTGAGCTGGTGCTGTTCCACCTGGATTGATGTGCAAGTGTTGGAAAAACTGTCCCATTATGTTGTCTTAGTTGGACCTTCATCAGTTTTATTTCCTTTCTTTGTTAGGTCTCCCACCTATTATCGATTATCTAGTGACTCTCTTTTTGAATATATACATCCAGTATCATGGCTTCTCCTTTTTGCATCATTTTTTTAGCGTCCCTTTTGTATAACTTCCAGGCAGTTTTGTTGGCCATTTTTTCACTACTCCCTGTAATGACTCCCACACACTGCAGTCCACACTATAGGACATTGATCTGATAAACTTGAGAAATATTTCTAGTCTGCTGCATGAAAATTTAATTGTCTTACAATGATAAAAGCAACTGAATCAAGGCTAAGACAGACAGCTGTTGTTTCTCTGCTGTTTGTCTGCTTCCTGTGTCCTCCTTGGCTCAGCTTTAACAGATGGAGGACATAACTTACACAGAGACATGATTGGAATCTCAATCATTTTGTTAATGTGCATGTTTATTTCCGTCTGACAAGATTCTCTGCACGTAATTTTATGCTGCTTTTGCTTTTACTTGATTACCAGTTGAGTACTCAGAAATATCCTTTTATGTTGGTCGTCTTTCTTCAGAGACGGCTCAAACTCACATAATGTAAATACAGTTTAAGTCGAATTTAGACTGGTATGGTATTTTTTCGACTTTCCTCTTTTGCTGCCATGTTTGTTTTGAGAAGTGCATCTCCGTGTATGACCCCTGCATTGCATATTAAAACAGGAGATTACAGCCTTTTATATTGTGATGTTTGAGTCAGAAGTACACCCACGTGTCGACTGCCATCAATCAGTTTTGTTAGGGTCCATTTTAGTGAATTGGTGCTCTGATTTTCTTTGCCCCAGTATTTCAAATTTTCCCCTTCACCACCATAAAGAGTCATTTTAAGGTTACTCTAAAAAGTCAAATTGGTAAATAAAACTGCTTAATACAAAAAAATATATAATCTGGTGGCAGATCATTTTGTTTGTACCCTAATAAGAAAGGTAATAATTCCTGCATACAATCCTAGGTATCTCATGTTTGTTACAAGAAAAAACAAAATATAAAAAGGGATTACTCTGTAAAGTTATTCCTACCAATGACACTGCAGAGAAGACGCAAGCTGGTGGTATCACCCTCGCCAGCATCACGAGGGCTCTCCCTCCACGACGGTGGTAAAGGAATGCGCAATCCGATTGGACGGTGAAATTTGCGTCGCCGAGGTTCGATGGTAACCACTGGGCTGAAGGTGGCCTGGTTACCAAGCTGCCTGGTCAGCAGTTCATCAGGGATTGGTTGTGCCTGATGTTAAAGTGTTAATGGCAAAAAAGGGACACTGAGGATGTGACGAAAAGACAGGAGGAGAAGGCTGCATACATGGAAAATGGAAAAGATAAACTCAAGCACAAATAAAACATAACAGAAGCTCCGCAAGGATCAACAAACAATTAAACAAAATGTTTAAAAAAAGGAAAACAAACCATAAACCATAAACCATAAAAGCAAATAGGCTAAAACTTCAAATTCCCAACCATACTCACACATGCAACAAATTCATAAACTCAGATCAGTGCATCAGCTTGGTCACTGTGGCTCACAACTTAAATCGGGGAACTGAGGAGTAACGAATGGCTGTATAAAAAGGAAAACAGAAGAGCGTAGGCAAAGCAAAACTCATGCAATCTTCTTACGTACATAACATTAGTGCCATGACAAAGAACGTAAACGATGTACACTCAAGTGACCAAGCAACAGAAATGAAGAAGCCATAATCCTTCATAATCTTTCTGCTGTGGAAAACAAAGCCAAGTGTAGGTGTAGTGTGAAAAGAGATCAGTCAGCATAAGTGTGTGCCAAGTTCCCATACGGGTGTCTGCAGAGGTCTGGATGAGTAACAGCCAGTCATACATTTGCCAAAAGCTCCTGTTTGGCAGGGCAGACACCACGTGTTGCAAACACCAGAGATGCTTCTTAAAGGTCAGGCAAATTTTGAAAATGTTCTAATAAAGTATATAATTTTTCTATATTAACCTATTCTATCAATGAAATTCTTATTGACAGTGTTTAAAAACTGAGAAAATCTTCTTCCTATCGGTTTGATATCACTGTTTGTTACAGCTCTATTTTGTGAAGTAGATGTATTTTTTATATTTTCATTGAATAAACCAAAGCAAATTTATCACAATGAAGTGCAAGGCAAGAGAAATTTACTTACATGTACATGATTTACAGTAATACCAATAATAACTGACGCCACATCACAAAACACTAAATGAAATATAGATTTACTATTTGATGGGATATCTCAAATGACGAGCGATGACCTTTCTTCTAGCATTAAGGTTTATAGTACTGAAATAAATCAGTCTGCCACGTCTCGCATCAGGTCTCCATGACTGATAGCAAAACTCAAGCATTTTCAGACTCATTGGTCAAACAGACATAACATCAACTTCATGGCATGAAATCTGTCAAATCTGAACTCGTAGACTGAAAGCAGCGCAAACAAAAAATGAGGCCAGAGGCAAACATGTTGGCACAGGCTTGGTTGTTTTCTCATTCGAACATCTGTTTTTGTGTTGAACAATCAAGCAATTATGAAAAGTGTACATGTGCAAAGCCTCTTTTCAATTCATATTCTCACCTGCAGTCCCAGCCTCACTCTCTTGGTGACAGCAGTCTCAGGGAAGATTGCCTCAACTTGGGGGACCAGCTTACTGGTCAGCCGACCGCCCTCTGGACCAATGAGATCACTCTCCTGCTGTATGCGAGACACTACTGCAAAGTAGAGGGGGAAGTCAGTGGAGATGATTCGACGGATTCTCTTCTTCTCCAGCTCCTCTTGGCTCTCCAAGTCTATATTAAGGTGAAATAGTGGAGATAAGCAGAGAAAAGAGATAAAGAGGAAAGAAAAACAGGGTAAAGGTAGGTGTTAGGATACATGTCTAGCTGAAAATTTCAGTCTTAAATGAACACTTTGTGGGAATAAAGCCTGTCTGATGCTGCGGAGGCAGCTTCGGTGTTTAAAAAAACCTTCCTATGTTTGTCTTCTGTAACTCCAGGGACATACATCAAGATTAATACAACCCCTCAAGGTTTCCCTGACAGGCGACATCCATTACAATCCCACTAACCTTCATCCATGCCATTCAGAATAGTTTCCAGTACTTCGTCGCCATAGCGATTGCGATGTTCCTTCCAGATTGAGCCGTTCTCACTGCGGAGCACCACAAGCTCTCTGTCTCCTCGTCCCAGTGAGGCAAAGTGAGGGATTTCTACTATCACTGGTCTGTGAATGAAATGTCAGAAAGGTTTTTAGAAAAAGGTAGGAGAGGTGCATGTTTTATCTTCTTTTTCTTCGTTTTTTAATGACTATCTATAGGTTTTGGGGAACAGAGAAGACTAAATGCTGTAGTTTTGAAAGTCAAATGCATTTCCCTACTTGCCTGGTTTGGTACTCATCAGACTGAGGTCTCCTCTGCGGTATTATTTTATTTCACAGTGTGCCAAAACATTCTAATTGATGACTCTGAACTACAGGCCAGCTGGTTCAGAGCCCAGACTAACATTAAAAGTACAAGTTATCAATGCCATTTGCACTAATACACAGCCTTTTGAAGTGCATGTTCACAGCTTAGAAGATGCAACATGTGTGACTTCTAAAAAAAACTCTGGCACTTGATTGGTCAGACCTGGTCCTCTTTAAATGAGCTGATGTCCAGAGACAACATGTTTATGAATGCTTCTTATGTTTCTCCTCGCATGGTTAGAATTTTAATATTGTACAATAAAAATGACCAGTGCTCACGCACAATGGTTTTCAGAAATGCTTGATACATCATCCGAGCATGACTCTGGACCTTTCAGCATTGGTTTTCAACCTAGTCCTTTGTGTACAATACTTTCTGAAGATTTTTTAAAATATTTTTAAGATAATATGTACCGTAGATGATCCCCATATTCTCTGTAACTTTACACTGTGATAGGTTAGTTTTAAACTGCTTAAATGACAATTTTCCTATAAATACCCCGTCATGATCTAGTCTTGTCCATTAAATGGCACAATCACTGAACTTGTCTTGGACATGTCATGGCATGTCTATTAAGAGCCACTCAAATACATGCACATATAGGCATACACAAATACACACAAAAGTATTTTGCTTTGACTGTAAATGCACAGTCAAATACGGTCAAATACAGTTAATAAACCAAAGAAAGGTCTGATTTACCCAAGGAACTGCATACTGGACGGCCCCAGGGAGATGATCCGGCTAGCGAGGCCCTCGCCCTCCACTAGTGGAGGAGGCGTGGTCAGTTTCTGGGGTTTAACGAGACGGCAAGTGATACGCGTCGGTGCAGCGCAGGTTCGGGGAGGGATGATCACTCGTAGTCCATGGTGCCTGCTGCCTCGCATGGAGCCCCCTCGAGCATCCACCATGAAACTCACCAGGAAGCTGAGTTAAATGGTGCCATAAATTAACAACATGTAAACTTTACTTTATCATAACACATTTAAACATTAATAAAACAGGACAGAAAGAAAAAAAAACACAAAGACTGGACTTTCGTCAGGGAAATCCTCCAGTTCTACGAGATGGGAACAGATTATTCATGTGCTGTTTGTTCAGCAGTGTTTTGAATTGATCTGGTTTGCCTGCTCATGGTTTATGCTATTTATAAAGAAGACATCAATTGACTGTGTAGGCGCTCTTTTCATTTGCTTGTCTGGATATGACAGGAAAGAACGAGTGATCTGCAGCAATGCTCAGCAAGAATTATGTGAAAAGATTTGAAAGAGATCCCCATTCTGCTTCTCCTGCATTATACCGGTGGCTTAATACAGGTGTCTCTATGTGTGAGGTCACCTTTTCACACTCACTATTTCAAAAGCTGACTCATGGAGGTACAGATACAGTAAATTATGACTTTGCATAATTGATAAATTAAAGTGTTGATTGCTGGAATACAATTCCTTTAAATATAAGTTATCTGTAAATGTGGATTGTGATCATCGTGATCATCACTGATAATCATTACAACCACCATTTATCTTTTGGTATCATATCTCTATGCAATAACATTAAAACATGAATGGACTGCATTTACCTAGGCCCTTTTTCGTAGCAGTTTACAGAGCACTTTAGATTGTATATTAGAAAAGGATGCTATTGTCACATAAACTATCACCTCAGTAGATGAATTAATGGATTCAGTTGCCAGTTTTAAATGTTAATGACATTAGAGTTTAAACAATTTTGTTAATTATAATCAGGTTAAGTGAAAAATAGATGATAAATATAGTATGCTTTTGACTATCATCATAGGCTTTTTTTTCTATTTACTTTTTTGTAAAGCCAGAAATTTCACAGTCTGCCAAAACACTATAATAAGAATCCTGACAAGAAGCATCGACGACTGATACTGTTTAACATAAAAGCAATTTTGAAAATGTGGTTTAATGGGGAAGAAAAACATTTTAATAACTCACCCAGTGTGAATAGGGCTGGCTACAGGGCTGACATTGTCTGAAGTCTCAGTAGCTGGACTGCTTGGGATAAGAGAATCTTCATCATATTCTTTTGGCAAGGGGACGGGAGTCTGCTGAGGTCAGAGAGGGAGAAATGAAAATGGAAATTGGTGAGAAATTGAGGCCGTAAAACAGCTATGACTGAAAAGATTAAACCAGAGAAAAGTAGGAGGGAAAGACTGAGATAAAAAGAGAAAGAGGTGATATGAGACATGAAGCAGAGAGAAGACCATAATAAAAGAAGAGGTATGAATAAAAGTCAGAATCTGGTTCAATAATATAAGTTAGTGATGTTTCCATCTGAATATCTGTCTTCTATAGCCTCTTTTTTGCACCTTAAAAACTTCATTCTGCACAAGAAAGTGATTGTCAAGCAATGTTAACTTAAATTAAGTGTCCCTTTAAGAGTACATACAAGTATGTTACAACTACGTAACAAATCAATGCCTTCCTATTCAAAGAGGAAGCTTAGTTTATATACTTATCAGGTCCAACTAATCCCAAATACCTAGAAGAAATTAGAAAAGTATTCAAATGAGAGCTCAGGTCTCAGGAGGATAAGATAAAGTAACAAATGCTTACAAAGCCACTCTTAGTCACGAGCTAAGCGTACCTGATCCAGCATAACTGTCTCTGGTGACACACAGGGGATCCTGGGAATGGCAGGAGAATATGGACTGTCGAAGAGGAGGCAGGAATAAGGTAAGACAAGAAACCATCGCTGAATATGGCACCGCTATCAAAATTCTAATAAAATCATACGAGCTCACTCTGCTGCTTCTCATAATCTAAGGTAAGGATAAATGAGCTATGTCAGTAATTTAATCGCCAGCTCAAATTTCATTTTCAATTATATCATATTAGGCATTCTTCACATAAAGACTCCTCGTCACACCTCACACTGACTTACGTGGTGCCCATGCCGCCCTCAAAGTCTCTGAGGGTCTTCTTTGGGGAGAGAAAGTCATCATCCTGGTCCTTAAAATCATCAAGCTTCAAATAGCGAGCTCCGTCCATCCCCAGCAACTCGTCTCCTGTGGTAAAAATGTAAAAGAAATGTTTAGAAAGAACATGGAAAATGACCACAGAGAAAAATAAGTGGTAAGGAACAGGTTGCAAGGAGCACATAAGGAAGTAAGAGAGAAAAGGATGACACCAGGGGGATACGGAGTAAACTTTAAATTAAGGACAAGTTCAATAAATGTCAGTTTATCTCAATACATTTCAAGTTGTTTCAAAATGTATTTTATGAGAAATGCTCTCAAAACCTTGAACTCTCTTCAAATTCGAGTAAAATCAATTTTGATTTAATCCCCAGATGAAATCGGTAATTACTACTCCACCATCCTTCCCATCCCTTCACCAAACCACAGAAAAAAATGGCCACAAAGCAGTTCCAAACATTTTAGTCCAAGCAATGGAGTCAAACCAACAACAACCAGAGCCGATGGAAACCAAAGTAGTGAAAGAAGAGGATTGGTAAGACAGTGAATATCGACACAGTTTAGGACACTGCATGGACAGCAAACTGCAAGGCACCTGGTGACAGCTTTTTTAGTGAGCATGCCCATTAAAGATGAAATCACATGTGGTGATGGTTGTTTCTGTGTAGGAGAAAACACCTTAATTATTAAATAGGAATGATACTAAAATAATAATCATAACAACAACTATAAACCGCTTCACAAGACAGACAGTTTAGCACCCATTCGTATAAGCTGTTCAGGAAAACAAAGCAAAAAAATGTTAAAGAAGTAAAAAGTGAGAAAATTAAACAAGTATAAAAACAAGAAAACACATTGCAAAAGGAAATTTATGAAAAAATGCTTCCAAAACGTGTTGAAAAGATTCGAATTTGGTTTAATTTTTCTAGATTTTTAAGGCAGGCCGATGACTGTATAAACTGGAGCTGTTTGCTGGAAAGTGTCACAGCTTTGCCACAGTATGTGTTTTATCCGTTTATGGATCAATTACACTGTAAAAATCAGGAGGAACAGCAACGCTGCACTGGAAGGGAGCCATTTAAATTTAAATACAGAAATACTGGAGTTCTGTCAATGACAGATCCATGACCAGATATGTGCTGGTAAAAGGAAAATGTTGTGACTACATGCTGATGACAAACAGACTTTTTAAAGAAAAAGCAAATCTCTGAACAAGAGGGAGAATAGGAGAGATCAAAGATAAGACAGAGAAAATAGAGGATAACAAACAGGGCTGGAGTCGAAAGTAGAACTGATTAGAAAGACATTTAGTGACACACAGAGAAAATGAGAAAGTGCAACTGCAATGAAGGCACAAGTTTACGAGTCACCGGACCGGACAAGGCAGAGATACAGACACAGTCCTACCTAACGTTAGCTGGGCAACCCCTACAAGACAAATGGAAAAGGGTGTTATAAACAGTCGCACATATACAGTCAAATTCATGCTGGTACTTCGACATGTCAGTGTACTTCCCATGCGCTCGTCTTCTACCAAAACCAGAGCTGAAAGTTAATTATCAAAGCTGCACAGTTGATGCTTTTAACATAATCAAATAAGACAGCCTACCTTCATCCTCTGAAACATCCAAAATCTCATCTACAGTTTCGGGGAAACTCATCCGATGCTTCTCTGTCGTGATCTGTGGAGAACCAAGGTGGGAATTAATTTGCAAGCAGTGAGGGAGCTGAATGTGATTAGGAAAACAGACTTCGCTCAGTGAACATCTGATCATGGTGCGTCAACGTTTCTTCTTCATGTACTGGTGTAACTAGGTGAACCATGCTCACCGCAGAAACAGACTCCTCGGTTACCAGCTTGAGCACATCAATGACAGAGATGTAACCCAGCCTCTTAGCAATGCCCAGGGGAGACGTGCCGTTCTACACAGAGACAGATAATTAAAATTACTAAAAACATTTCCACAGATTTTAAGAACTTTATTCTTTCCTGTAGAAAACATATACTCTTGGGAAAAAGAAGTATTTTAGAGTCCTGTGAAAAACAAAAGTAGAAGATCTCAAAGCATCCAGGTGTTTGTAGACAAAATACCACAATCTTGCCAGGAGTCAACATCCCAACGGATTCTCTACAATTCTCAGAAAGTGCAAAAAACCCAAGAGCTACAGCCCTGATTCTACAGGTCTCTGCTAGCATGTTGACTATTAAAATCCATGACAGCTTCAACAAGTATGGTTTATTTGATGGGGTTTCTGGGAAGAAGGCTCTTCTCCTTCAAAAGAACATACTTCAAAAGACAGTATGGCTGAAGTTTGCCAAGTTGCATCTGAAGAAACCACAAGAGGTTTTTGGACAAACAAGGCCAAAGAGGAGATGTTTGGCCATACTGCTCAGCACCATGTTTGGCAAAAACAAATACCTCATGTCAACTGCCAAGCATGCTGGTACTGGATGGGTGATGATTTGGGTTTGTTTTGCAGCTTGGAAACTGGGCGCCTTGCATTCATTGAGTTGACCATGAAATCTGTCACATTTGAGGCCATCTGTCCAAGAGCTAAAGGTTGGCTTGTATACAACAGCATGGCCGCAAAAGAAAGGATTTAAGGTGTCACAGTGTCAAACTGCAGACCTCAGCCTGACTGTAATGCTGTGATGATAAACACAGATAAACGAATGCCTGCAAACCTCCATAAACTAATGCAATGTTGTAAAT